ATGTGTCACTGTGGGAGGAACTGAGGTCCTTATATCACTGAATACTGCAATTTCTACTTCACAAAGGTGGTATGTCCTTCATTACCTCAGCTTCTCTTTACTTTCTCTCAGTATTGGTTCGTGGCTGCAGAGATTGTAACGTTAGATTTACCTCTTAAGTGATTTTTTTTTTCTTTTTTCTTAATTTCAGTTTTTAATTAGTTTTTTTTTTTTTAGCAGATTCAATGATTTGTAGATAAAGTTCTAAGAACATAGTGATATTCTCTTCCTCCCTAGAAATAGGTTTTTAAGTTATACTATGGAATCTTGAAAAAAAGTTCTAAAGATATATTTGTTGATTTATTTGAAAAGTGGAGTAGTGATAGGCAATGAGAAGTATCCTTTGCCTGCTGGTTCACTTACCAAGATGTCAAAAGGCGATGAAGACGCCAGAAACCTGGAATTCCATCTGAGTCTCCTTTGTGTGACCCAAGTGTTTGGGCCATCATCTCTGCATTCACAGGCACATTAACAGGATGCTGGATCCAAAGTGGGTATCTGGGACTTGAAGCAGCATTCCATGGAATGCCATCATTGAATGCTTTGGCGTAACACTACACAGTGGTTGCCCCTACAATTTTTAGTTTCGGGTCTTTCCTAACTTACTGAAATTTAGTGCATTTTTGCCTGTTGAATCTGTTGAGTCACATAACTTAGTTGTCACACCTTACAGTATTGTATTTGTTCTTTTAATCAGTATGATAACTGGAATGCTTAGTCTACCCAAAGATAACCTCCTAATGTTTACATACATGTCCTGGCAGCGTTACCAGTGCAATGCCAAAGTGCATCTTGGTGCACCAATCTGCCAATCTTTCTTCAGTTACTCACTGTACCTCTGTTAACTGTGCTATTTGTAAAAGTGAGATCTTTTCAGGCACATTTTACACACAGACACACGCCCATACACACAGCATTTCTTAAAAAACATTATACTAGGTGAGGATGTGGGGAAAAGGGAACCCTACTCCACTGCTGGTGGGCTTGCAGGTTTGTACAGCCTCTATGGAAATCAGTCTGGAGAACACTCAAACAACTCAAAATCTGCATACCATAGCACTCCCAGGAATGTATCAAAACACCTGTTACACGAGAAACCAACATGTACCCCTGTGTTCATCACAGCACAATCAATAATCACAAAAACTTGGAAGCAACTGAAATGCCCATCAACAGAAGACTGGATAAGAAAGCTGTGGTTCATTTACTCCATGGAATACTACTCAGCTATTTAAAAAAGTGAAATGCAGTTTTTTGTGGCCAAATGGGCCCAACTGGAAACCATCATGCTAAGGGAATTAAGCCAACCCCAAAAGTTTAGATACCACATGTTTGCCTTAATTTAAAATGAAATGATGTCAGTCCGAAAAACAGTACCTGTAAACTGTAATATTATTCCAACCCCTAACAGCCTGTATCTCATGCAATAAGACATTGTGATATAACCAATGAATGTACAATCCATGGATTGTTTTTCTGTCAGAGTCACTGACAGCAGTATTGGACAGGACCCTCTCGTGTGTGACTAGAAATTTTCTAACCAGATAACTCTAATAGTCAGTCATTCCTTTTTTAGTACTTTAATTTAATTTACTGTGACTTTACTTAAGAGAAACATCCAGTTCATATGTCTACTCCTGCTTCCCTGCACAGTTCTGTAGACAGCAAGAATGATTTTAACAGCCTGAAGATAGCAAAATTAGCCAGAAGCTATGCTGATAGAGGGATTGGACTTGATTTGGAACTGAAGGAAATTGAATTAAGCCAAATAAATTAGGATTTATTGGCTAAAAGTAGATAAGTCAGTTTGAATGGAAGAGGGTACCCTATAGCTTTGCTAGCTAGGCTTTAAACACAAAAATTGAAAAATCAACAGAGACCCCAGCAACCACACTTATTACTGATTTTAACCATTGTGACTACAACTGCACGGTGTCTTTTCAAATAAAAGTAAATAGGGCCCAGCGCGGTGGCGCAAGTGGTTAAAGGTCCCTCGCCTTGCACGCCCGGGATCCCATATGGGCGCCGGTTCTAATCCCGGCAGCCCCGCTTCCCTTCCAGCTCCCTGCCTGTGGGCCGGGAAAGCAGTCGAGGACAGCCCAAAGCTTTGGGAACCTGCACCCGCGTGGGAGACCCGGAAGAGGCTCCTGGCTTTGGATCGGCATAGTATCGGCCCGTTGGGCTCACTTGGGGAGTGAATCATCGGATGGAAGATCTTCCTCTCTGTCTCTCCTCTCTGTATATCCGCCTTTCCAATGAAAAAATAATAAAAAAATAAATCTTTAAAAAAAAAAAAAAAGAAAGTAATTCAAAATGCAGACAGTTGGAAGTACTAAAGATCATAATCTATTTTTTTAATGTAGAAACAAGGAATTCTTGTTCAGAGTAGATAAATGTCGTTATCTTCAAAAGCCTATTTACTTTCTTTCTTCCCCTGTATTTTTCTTCACCTTTCCTTAAGTGCTCATTATTGGTTTACCAGGTTTAAACTTAGAAATGTAATTCAACTTTTACAGTTATTTTACTTATTTGGAAGGCGGAGACTGAGAGAGCATTCTAGAGAGCCTTTCAACTGGATCACTCCCCAGCTTCCTCAGGGCTTGGGCAGGGCTGGCCACACTGAAGCTGGGAGTTGGAAACTCCGTCCCTGTTTCCTGCGTGGTTGGTAGGGACCCATATATTTGAGCCATCACCTGTTACCTCTTAGAATGTTTTTTACTGGAAGCTAGAGTTAGGAGTAGAGGTAGGATTCGAACTTAGACACAAGTGGAACATTAACGATTCAGAATGTCTGCTTCTGGGTAGCAGGACCTTTAAATGCTTCTCAGAATATTCTCAGTTTTGCGACTAGCATTGTGGTGCAGTCAGCTAAACTGCTACTTGCAACACCAGAATCCCAAATCAGTGTTCTGTTCCCTGTTGCTCCTTTTCCAACCTAGCTCCCTGTAATGTGCCTTGGAAGGTGGCATGGGTGGCTCAAAAGAGCAGCAGGAGGTGGCCCAAGTGCTTGGGTCACATTACCTTACAGGATTTTTATATGGCATTTAGATGTCATTATTTACCTAATCGTAAAGAATTTGTTTTAAAATTGTTCCATAGGGAGCCGGTGCTTTGGCGTAGCAAGCTAATCCTATGCCTATAGAGTCAGCCTCATGTATGGGTGCCAGTTCCAATCCTGTCTGCTCCATATCTGATCCATCTCCCTAGTTGTTAATGACCTGGGAAAACAGCAATGGATGGCCCAAGGCTTTGGCCGCAAGCCCAAGTTGGGGGAACCAGAAGATTCTCCTGGCTTCCAGCTTCAGACCAGCCCAGCTCTGGCTGTAGTGGACATTTGGGGAATGAACTCACAGATGAAAAATATCTCTGTCTCTCCCTCTCTCTGTAACTTTAACTTTTAAAGTTAAATAAGTAAGTCTTAGCAGCAACAAAGAAAAATTGTTTTATATGAGTGTTTTCTGATGTTTCATTTGTCATTGTTGAAAACTAACTCTTTACTCCCTCAAAATTACTGTTCTTGTCCCTGTCTTTCCCATCTTAGCATATAACATTGCCACCCTCCAAGTTGCTCAGGTCTTGAGGTAGGACCTGTCCTTGACTTCTCCTTTCTTCTGTTTCAATCCTGTTATATAACTAAATTTGTAATCACAAATTCTATTGACTCTAAAGTATTTTGTTTTTCAGTCAGTGGATAATTTTCTCCATCTCTGCTGGCATATTATGTTTTGTCATTGTTATCTCTCATCATAGTATTCTTTTTTAAGATTTATTTATTTGTATTATTAATACAATAGCCTAATTTCGTTTTATTGCTTTTATTTTTCCCTATATTTATTTCCTGAAAGCTGTCATTCTGATCTTACCACCATCTGATTATACTGTTTTCTCCTTACTTAAAGTCAGTGACATCAGTCAAACATGCTCGTTTCTTCCTGAAGTGTTACTCCAATTTTCTCCTGCTTTGGGGCACTTGCACTTGCTATTCTTTTACCTACTCTACAGACATTTTTCCTTGACTTGTCTTTGCTGTTATTATGTTTCAATCCTCATCTCACATATTCTCTTCAGAGAAGCCTTAACTGATTACCCTATCTAAAGCAGTCTCCCTCCTGTCTAGTTGAAGAATTTGTGGTCATTGAATAGCAATGACTCCAACCTCTTGTTTGCTTTTTATTTAACTTATTACAATTTCTAACTTTGCTCAGTTTGTTTCACTAACATGTATGGTGAAACTGAAGAACATAAGTAGGAATACACTCTTGAAATTCCATTGCCCCTTTACAAAGTACACTACTGATATAACTCTCGTTTATGAACTTCCCATGTTACAAGATAGTATCATCTGCTTACTAATAGGCTGGCCATATTATGGGTTAATTATGCATTATACATCAAAATAGATATGGTAAGAACAGTACTTGGGAAGGAAATGTATAATGTTATACTTCTCCACAGGAAGCACTTTGTTGTCTCACCAGTTTGAGGCAGATGTAGACTTGAGTGCAAAACTGTGTCACTCTTACCTATGGTATCAAAATCCATGCTTTACTTGTTGAATACTTCTGACAGATGAATAAATAATATTATATTTCTGACTTTGCAGTCTGTCTTTCCTTATTGAATATACTAATCATTGATAAGGAAGTTAAATCACATTGCTATTCAATTTTCATGAATAATCGTGCTTTGAAATTAGATTATTTGTTGATTCATGATAAATTGGAAAATATGCTTTGACAAAATAATGTCTTAAATTTTGTTTAGATTTTAAGTGTGATGAATTTGCCTGTTGTTTATTTATTTATTGGTTTAATTTCTTTACAATTATTTGAAATCCTCACAGATTCTCCCACAATCCAGCTTGAGACAGTAATTGTTTCATGATGGTTTAAAATTTGAGTTCCCATAATTACTGGACCAATCAATTGAGTTTATCTGTAAATTGCTTCTTTTCTTTGTAGGTGCAATACTCAACTGTGAGATATTATATAAATCCCCAAAAAAAATTAGAATAAAAATAAAAGTGGCAATGTCTCGAGAACCAACCCCACCTCTGCCTGGAGAAATGTCTACTGGTCCAATAGCAGAAAGCTGGTGTTACACACAGGTACACACTGTTTAAGTTTCTTACTCTAAGTCAATTTAAAACTTTACTGTTTGATTTTGAGAATAGTACTGAGAAACACTATGACATAGTTATGGGGTTAGAAGAATAGAGCATAGGATGTTGTATAATGTGTGTTAAGTTAAAAGCATAGATTCGTAATTTTTTGTAATCGTGGTTTTCTGAATTCCTTAGGTTAAAGTAGTAAAATTTTCCTACATGTGGACCATTAATAACTTCAGTTTTTGTCGGGAAGAAATGGGTGAAGTGTTAAAAAGTTCAACATTCTCATCTGGCCCAAATGACAAAATGAAATGGTAAGATTCTTTTGTTTTTTGGTGTGATCATAATCTATTTATGGCTTTGTTTTATTCTTCCTGAAATAAAGTGTAATTTTTGAGTAGCTTGGTATAAGCTACTAATATAATGGAGAATTGTAAAGAACTGTGGGGAGGTTGGCAGGAGTATTGTTGGTGATAATAATTGACAAATGATTTTGGTATTGCCTCTTTGTTTGAATGCTTCAAGTATTATATTACTCCAAGTGAGCCTATTGTTTTATTTTAGGTGCCTGAGGGTAAATCCAAAGGGATTAGATGATGAAAGTAAAGACTACTTGTCCTTATATTTGCTTTTAGTCAGCTGCCCCAAAAGTGAAGTTCGAGCAAAATTCAAATTTTCCCTTCTGAACGCTAAAAGGGAAGAAACAAAAGCAATGGGTAAGTGACTTGCAAACTGAGTGAAGAAGTCTCTGTGTAACTGCATACTGTGACTTCTGCACCTTTACCTAGAAAAAATTTGGCATTTTCCCCCACTAAAATCTAAGTTAAGTTTTAGCCTAACCTAAAACTTTTAATTTAATTTCAATGTAGGACTATCATTGTTTTATGAAATCTTAGGTATCATCAGACACATAAAAGTAGTTTAGAAAAGCATTAAAATTTAATCTTGTTTGGAAATGGCATTCACTTGTCATTTGGAAAATAGCACAGGGTACTTCATTTATGCCTGGCCTGTACAATAGGAATTAAATATTTCTCTTCTTCTTTTCCCTTTTTGCTGTGACATAAAATCTGAACAACAGTTGAAGAAGCTGGAATGCCTTGTTACTTTTATCACTAAAACTTTCAAGCAGTGAACTGAGCATTGAAGCAAAATCAGTTTTTTCTTAGTTTCAGTGCTGATTAAATTTGACCCAATATATTTAGCCAACTTTTAAATGCTATAGTCTGGAACTTCTGAATAGAAGAATAACCACAGGAAATATAGAGTATGCAGAAAAATACTGTATGAATTGTCATGTTAAATATCAGATATTTTTCTAAATGTGAATTCCAGTAGTTTTATTACCAAAAAACCTCCACATGTTGTTAATTATGCTTAAATGCCAAAATAATCTATTTCTTCATATTTTCTGTCATTTGAAATATCTGAATATTTTCTTTAGATTTATTACTGATTTTCTACCTCCAGTTTGTGTAACAGACAATTTTTCTAGTGGATTATAACTTATTTGATAGTATATAACTGTTCTATGGTACCTGAGCCATTTGACATTATTATTATTATTATTTGAGAAATAAGGATACTGAAAGTAGTTCATCAGATATTTTATTTTGGTGTAAGACTTTTGAAATCGATTTATAGATTTTTCATAACTTGATGTTCTTTGATCTTTTTTGAAAATTTCATTTAGTTATCAAATCTTTGGGTAATTGTGTTGAAAATGTCTCTTAAATTCTTAATGACATTGTTCTAGGACCAAGGTGACTATTTCTAGACCAGGAGTGTTAAAGGACTTTCTTTAACCTTTTCACTAGTTAGAGGATTATTTTGTAGCTTAGTAAAATTAATGGGATGAGTGTCTCAGGACATATCCTAATAGATGCTTTGATTGTTTAGGATGTTTTTAAAGGGAACAGAAAATAAAGAAGTACATTACTCTCACCTTAGATTCTCACATTAGTTGATGATTAGGTTATTTATGCCCACATAATTTGAAACAATCTCATTGTCTTTTAATGCCTAGATTATTAAAAACAAACAAAAAAAAACCCTTCCTGGTGAGTAATATTAATATCAACTTTGTTTCAAACAATTTCATTTCCTTTTAGGGCCTAGATTATTAAGAAAAAAGAAAAAAACACTCTTCCCTATCCTTTGGATTAGATTGGACCTTTCTACTTAGTGACCCAAAAGTCTGAAATTGAGCTCATTGCTGGTGTTCTAAATTTGAATAGTGATACGAATAACTTAGTTTTACCTGCCATAACTCATAGCATTTTATTTATGAACACAAATATCTATAATTTTGAGAGATACAGTAGCTAGTTTTTACATATTTCACATAATTGTTATTAAAAAACATGTCTCTTAAATATTTGTTTTATTTAAATTTCTGTTCTGTTTTTCACCAGAAAGCCAAAGAGCATATCGATTTGTGCAAGGGAAGGACTGGGGGTTTAAAAAATTCATTAGAAGGGATTTTTTGCTCGATGAAGCCAATGGTCTTTTACCAGATGACAAGCTTACATTATTTTGTGAGGTGGGTATATTTTTGCTGTAAGTAACGTTATGATTTTGTTTAGTGATATAATGCAAATATAAGCTGGATTAATCCTGGATATACTTTAAAAATTTTGCAATTTGTATTTAATGTTGCAGTATCTTTGCTAAATATTTGACCAGAAAAAGCTGATTGTATTGTCTCATAAATCAATACATTGGTGCCCTCAGAAAAACTATCCCCTCTCTACCTGAAAATTAGATGCAGAGTTACACTTCGGTGAGTTGAATCCTTCATCTTGAGGGCTGCACATGATCAGATGAACATTTCTAAATAGCTTCTTATTTTTAGGTAACTTTGACATAGATGATTAGTATACTTTTTAATTTCAGGTTACTCATACTAAATAGTATTGCTCAAGTTTGCCAGTTTGAGCTTAAAAGTACCTGAATAAGATTGGGAGGTTTGTTGATTATTGAAGCTATTGGATTGTCAGATAGGTATTGACAGTGTGAAAAATCTCATGTGTTTAAAATATTCCCACATCTGTTGATAAGTTTATGTGGCAGATTTACATACATCAAAGGCTATATTGTGGAATTAGTGATCTTGTCAATAATTTACACTTATCATTTGTCCTAATTTGTGGATTGGATTTGCTTCTAAATTATTATCATTATCAAGTTTATCTATTTGAAGTTTTGAGATTTGTTCTTGCCATGAATTCAAGGCGTGTGTCATGTTAACAATCTTGCTTATAAAGAAAACACATTGTTAACAGTTTCAAATATTCAAGATAGTTGAGAATGTGCATAGGAAGTGTTTATGTTCAGGTAAACTCAATATCAAATGTATTTGATAAGTTTTTGAGGACTGAAGAACAGTGGGAGAAGGATGAATTCTAAAGTGCTAAATTAGTTTTAAGCTCTGTATAGGAAATACGTTAAATAACAAAACAAAACAAAAAATGTCATGGCACGATTATGGACTAATTGTATATCATATTTTTCAGAAGAATAACTGAAACTGAAATAGAACTCAGAGGGCTTTATACTGCACCTTATTTTTGTTTAGACCAATAAAATAAATTGTATTAGGAGTCTTATAAATATGACTGAGTGATAAAGCACATAGTAAAAGTCTCTTGAGCAGAAGTTACCATTAAATACTTTGAGAAAACAAAGACTAAAGCATATAAACAGCCAGGTAATCCAAATAGTAATCAAAATAGATAAATTTACAGTATTAAAAGATTGACATTCTTAATGTAGAATTTTTCAGAATTTTAACACTGTTAATTTTAGATTCCAACATGTTAATTTTAAAAGATGTTGTATTAAATTTTTAGAAATGTAACATCCTAAAGGTTAACCCAGTTTTGGGCCCAGCACAGTAGCCTAGTGACTAAAGTCCTTGCCTTGCATGCACTGGGGATCCCATATGGGTGCACTGGTTCATGTCCCAGCTGCTCTGCTCCCCATCCAGCTCCCTGCCTGTGGCCCGGGAAAGCAGTGGAGGATGACCCAAAGCCTTGAGACCCTGCATCTGCATGGGAGACCCAGAATGGGCTCCTGGCTTTGGATCAGCTCAGCTCTGGCTGTTAATGCCACTTGGGGAGTGAACCAGTGGAAGGAAAATCTTTGTCTCTCCTCTTCTCTGTATATCTGCTTTTCTCATAAAAATGAGTCAATTTTAAAATAAATAAACAAATAAATTTAGAAAGTGTAATTCAATATTTAAAAAAAAGTTAACCCAGTTTTAAATTCACTACAGCTAATTTTTTTTCTCTTTTTTAGAATGCAATAAAATATACAAATATTTTGATAGTGTAAAATACTGGAACCTAGACCTAACTGAGAAATTCAGAATTGAGGCTGAAATTAATTCTAAAATTTCTTTTTAGAATTGTTTCTGAAGTGTGCTTGGGATCTAGATTCTGCATACTAGTGACCCCTTTGAAATAAGCTCACTGATATATCCACTTTTAGGTTGGCATTGGTCAGATCCACTTTTGGACCTTGAAATATCTTTGAGTATTTCACTTTGGGCACTGTATTCAATGTAGATGGGCAAAATCTTTTAAGTTAACTGTCGTGATGCCCTCCATCCTTTCTGGCACCCCTCTCACAATGCCCTTCCTTCTACAGCATCCCAGCACTGCTTGCACAAGAGGAGGAAGCACTGCCCTCCCTAAAGAACTGCCTCCTCTCCCTCCCCTGCAAGTGGTGCTGTAGACAGGTAAGGCAGTCGATGCTACCCCAAGTGCAAGTCCGCTTAGTCTTGCACATTCTAAACAGTGCTTCCAGGGACCCGAGGCAGATAATGTTTGCTGGCAGTGTAAGCCACACTGCCTCCTCTTTCCCTGTGAGATACAGAAAGCAAGAACTACAGAGTATCTAGGAAAATTTAAAACCTGATTAGATAACTTTAGTTGTTGAAATCCAACAGATTTTAAGTACTACAGTAGTACACAGGCAGACTCAGACTATTCCAAGTGAAATATTTCTGTACAGATAATACATGTTTTTCTGTTAAACTAAGACATTGTAGAGGATGCGACTTTTTTCTACTCCTAAATGTAAAATTAATTACTGTGGTTAAAAATTGATTACCATATTTTATTTCTGGATGTTTAAAAAAGATGAAACTTTTAGTTGAAAGTGAAAAAGTGTAAGATCTACTTCTATAGGTGACAAAATGAAATTGGACTATTAAACATTTCTTACTAGGAACCAGTGTAGAGACAGTCTATAGTTGTTAAATGTAGCAACATTGTAATGCTATAGAGCTTTAGGGATTCCTAGCTGTAAGAGTTAGTTTGGAAAATTTAGATTTTTGCAAGTTGGAAACAGATGTCACTTAGTTTCCATATATAGGAGTTTTTCAGGATAGTCACAAGATTTATTAGATCCCTGACGCGTTCTTCGTCAGTCTGAATTACACTGGTATTATTATTACTAGACTGAGTGAAAAACAAGTTTGGAAAGGAATGTGAAATAAAATTGAGGTCTTGCTTTTTAATTTTTGATTAATGTACTATATGTTTTTTGTGTGAAAGAACAAATTGAAAGATTTTCAGCCTTTTTCCTGAGTTTCTGAATTCTAGGTTCCATTCAATAAAATATATTAAGTGTTCATTACCTATATTTGAATATGTAATTTTCTTAGTCATAGTTATCAAGAAAACAATATTCAAAACTTGCTGCATCTCAGTTTTAATTAGGTCACTAAATTCTGCTATATAAATAGATCCTTGAGTACCCTTTGCAGTTTAAACTGTTCTGTTTTTTATTTAAAATTTGTGGTTGTTGTGATAATACTAAATACTCAGCTAAGGATTAATGAACCTGCTTTTCCTTGATTTGAAATTTTAGAAATTATTGATTTAAAAGCTTAATAAGATGGAAGAATCCTTATGAGGGGGCAGTTATTTCTTGTATGTTATCTTGTCTCTCATACTTAGAAAGTATCTCACAAGATTGTTGTGAGACAGTTTCTCTGGTATCATTGGGTTAAGAAAATACTAGTAATTTTAGAAAATATCAAAAAGAATTGTGAAGGTTGATGTTTAGCCTAGCAATTAAAATTCCCATATCTCACATCAAAGTACCTGCTTGATTCCTGGTGCCATCTCATGACTCCAATTTCCTTCCTCTGGTTGCTGACCCTGGAGGCAGCAAAAATGGCTTAAATTATTGGTTTCCTATCAGCCACATGCGAGGCATGGGGTGTGTTCCCAACTGTGACTTTGGTCATGGCCTAGGCATTCCAGGGATAAATTTGTCTCTCCTCTCTCTCTCCCCACCTTCTCTCATTCTCTCTTTCTGTCAAATTATTATTTAAACAAGTGGTATTTAGTGTAAATCATTGTATAAGAGAAGAAATGTGGAGGTTTAGGTTAATCTTAGATAAGCTTGGTCTCACTTTGAGATCTCATTGGGACAAGATGAATGCATCAGTTATTTTCTGTGACACATGATTTGAAGAGGTGAAGTTTAAGAAGCTGATTTATAACTATGTCTTCTGAAGCAAGGTTTTTCTAGCTTTTCTTTGGAAATGTTCACTCATGTATGTGAAATACACGATTGTCTATTTGGGTGATGACTTTATTAAGAGATCTTTTAATCTTTGTATTAGCATTTACATAAAAGCAACATTTTGTTTTCAGTCAGTTTTACTATACTTCAATACTGTGGAAATGACACTTTGAAAACTTCCCTTTGGGCCTTTGGGCCAGCTGTCAAGATGCACCTTGATTACCCATGTGACATACTGGAGTTTCTCAATTCAATTCCAGATCTGCTTACATTGTTTGCTCCTACTCTGGCAGCTAAAGGATGTTGGCTCAATTATTTGGCCGACCCATGTGGAAGACTTGAACTGAGTCACAGCTTTCAGCCTTCTCCTGGCCTAAGAGCCATGCTGCAGACATTTGGGGAGTAAGCTAACACATGGAAACTCTGCATTGCCCATTCTGCATGTGTGTGTATGTGTATGGGCACAGGCATGTCTATATACTTTTCAAATGAATAAAAATAAATGAATATAAAAATTTTAAGATTTCCCATTTGTGTATAATTTTATAATGTCTTATGCTATAAAAGTCATTATTAAGCTTATATTATAAATTCTGTGTATTGTGAAATTTATTCTGCCAGTTCACAGAAATAACTTCTTGTTGAATATGACACATTTTGGTTTTTCTGTTAAGAAGTTGTTTTTGTAATGACTTTAATAAACATTTCATCTAGTCAATAAGCCATTTATTTTCCTAAAATGTCAGTGTAAAAAGATCTGATTTGTTTCTGTTTATTCTGTATCTTTTGTAAATCCCTAAGTTTAATTCCCTGACATTATGTTTTTTGGTTAGGAATACTTTGAATTATCCAAATGATTTTTAAAAAAACACCTAGTTATAGATTTAATTACTGATTTGTGAAGATTTTTTTTTTGTCTCTCTTTTAGGTGAGTGTGGTCCAAGATTCAGTAAACATATCAGGACATACTAATACAAACACGTTAAGGGTGCCTGAATGTCGACTGGCAGAAGATTTAGGTAATCTCTGGGAAAACACAAGATTTACGGATTGCAGTTTTTTTGTGAGAGGACAAGAATTTAAAGCTCATAAATCAGTACTTGCAGGTACTTTTTTCTTTTGGCTATTCCTCTCTGTATTTTTACACAGGTTTGCGCATTAGGTAATGCTGTTCTGTCTTGTTACAGCTCGATCCCCAGTTTTTAATGCAATGTTTGAACATGAAATGGAAGAAAGCAAAAAGGTAAACATAGCTTAAGTGCTAATATTTAATTTTTACAAATGTAAAATAGTGGATTATGTATTTTAACAGTACATTGAGTTTCTGCTACCCACACGGGAACCCTGGGTTGAGTTCCTGACCCCTAATTCATCTTCCAGGCAACTCCAGCTATCATAGGCATTTGGGAAGTGAACTAGCAGATAAGAGCTCTCTGTGTGTCTCTGCCTTTCAAAGCAAAAGGTGAAAATAGGAAATAGTTTGCAAGTTCTTAGGTTAAATTAGAAATTTTTTTAAGCAAATTCAATGAGGCAAAATGTGTTTTAAAAGATATAGCTCAATGTAGTGAAAATTCCCTATACCAGCTATTCCAGTGTTCATCTGTTGTATAAATAAATGGATTCTTTTTCTCTAGAAGGTTAGTTATGCAACTGTCCTTTTGGTCTATTGCTACTAGACAGGTTCTGTGATTAAAATGTATGTGGATTCTTCAGAAATTGTGGGAAAATGGAATGTAAGCATGTTTATTTTGGCACAAACAACTTTTTAAATGCTTTGCTTTTTCAGAATACACATTTTCCATGAATTTTTTTTAAGACCCTCATATATTCCCCCTTTCCGTACTTCATGCATTGGTTTAGGAATTCATTTTATAGTAATAAGAATGTCTACATTCTTGTCATTGCCAAATAAGGAGCTATTCTAAGATTTAGCAAGCAGGATTAAAATATATCAGCATTAGTATGCTATTAACTAAGGAAAACATTACCAATTTGGCTTGCTTCATTTTGTTTTCTGTTTTTTCACATGTCATTTAAAACTGTGGTTGTAATGGATATCAGAAAGTGATTCTTTGATGGTTGCATAATTGTCTTACTTGACAATTCCAAAATTTATTTTTGGCCCACATTATTCTTTTTGCAGAACTAGAAGCTGAAGTAAAATAACATGAATTTCCTCTGATAGATGATCTAGGGAGAGACTATCGTCAACCATCTGGTTGTTTCCAAGTGGAGAGACATTTGTGATGTCACAAGCTATTTGCAACAGTATGCCAGAAAAGTTTAATACTGTTGATTTCAAGAGGGAAACAGGATACAAAGATGCAGATGTTAAAAGCAGTTAGTCCTCTCTGGACTTGAGTATCCTCTCAAGTAAGCAAAGAAATGTTAGCTGATATCATGCACGATATTTTACAAAATGTAGAAACCTAAAAGAGTGAACTGTATTACCCCAATTACCTGGCCTACTTTTGCTTTATTCTGGTACCAGAACTATCAGATCTCAGTATTCCTGAGACCTATGAATTTGACAAAATATTAATAGTCACCAATCCTAAGGTAGGAATCATAATCTGAACACTAGTAAGTTTTATTTAGCTTACTGGTTGTTCGTTTATTCCTTCTGCATAAAAAAGTGAAGCTTTTCTTCCCACAATATTTTTCTTGTCTTTGAGAAAATATCAGGATATGGACTCTTCAACTCATTTTAGTCCTTAACCTCTTAAATGATATATGCTTGTCTTATTAGTGTATTCACTTCACTTTTCTTGAATAGCTTACTGAAAGCTACTCACTTTAGTTTGAAACCACTCATTTAGTTTAGGAATATATGTGATGGTTATTGTGGTAACTGGAGGAAGGCGGAGTTTGTTTCCAACCCAACCCTGAATGGAGTGTGGAATTCTTGGGGGTCCATCCCTCAGGCTGTAAAACCACTGTTTCCCCAGTGAAGGCCACAAGCCTATATCTCCCCACCAGATTAGGGCCAATGTGACCCCTTTTTCTGTCTCCGCAACAAGGGGAGTTTAAAAGTCCCCTGCACATCTCTTCCTTGCTTTTCTTCCCTGTAGCTCTCTCCCTCCTATCTGTCTTCCTGCTGCATGGGGAAGGGAAACCCATGACAGTGGTTCGCTGGAATAAAGGCCATCAAAATTCTTGATTATATATTCAGCTGAGTTATTCATTCTTTGGTGGGCAGTGAATCTAACAATAGGTATATTGGATGTGAGCTTGAATTGTAAAATACTTTGGTGTGGATTTGAGATTCTTAAGACTATAAAAAGATGTATCATTGGCTCATTTGTTTATATGTTATTTCACTTTTATGTATTGTTTTCAATGTCAGAATCGAGTGGAAATAAGTGATGTAGATCCTGAGGTTTTTAAAGAAATGATGAGATTTGTTTACACGGGGAAAGCACCAAATCTTGATAAAATGGCTGATAACTTGTTGGCAGCGGCAGACAAAGTAAGTTATGAGGTCTTACAGAGCCGAAAAATATCTTTAAGCTTGATATATACATAAGGCTATCATCAAATACAATTCAAAATAACTTAAAATATTGTAGTAACTTATTCAATTGGTAGTTGCCTTCAGCATTTTATGAAATAGCCTGTGGTAAGATAATATGCAAATAACACTGTTTGCAAAATCGGTAAGATGTAAAAGTATCTTGAACCAGGGACAGTTCTGTTTTTTTTTCAAGCAATTGAGCTGATAAACAGTAGTTTTGAGTATATGTTTATTCTTTTTTATAAGAACATATAATAACAATTATTGCAGTTTTAAGGTATTCTTAGTCTTAATATATAGTACATGCAGGACCCATGTTTGTAAAAATTGCAAAAACACTTTATATAATTATCTGTATTCATAGAATCAGTTGTTACTGTCTCAGCACAGAAAGAGGAAAAACAGTGTTAAGTTTCATAATAATTTTTTGTGGGTAGGGAAACTACTAAAAAATTAGAAATTCTCAGTCTGTGGTTCTCAGTCCTGAAAGTATGTCTTATTAATTAAAGCATTTATTTGTGTACAGTTTGAAGAATGTTATCATTGGATGAAACTGGGCCACCTGTCTACTGAAATCCTATTATGTCTGAACATGTGTCTCCATCTAAATAAAGACTTTAAAATTCTTTTTAGTAATTAAATATATTGATATAAATCTGACAAAAAAATCTTTAAGAGTTAGGCACCAAGAATTATAAAATAATGCCACAAAAGATATAAATAATGCAAAAGGCCTCATAAACCTAAAAATGTAAAACTTCTAGAAGAAAACATAGGTAAAAGTCCTGTGATCTTGGATTGGGCAAAAAATTTCTTAATTGAGACACCAAAACCATATTCCATGAAGTAAATACATAATAAAAGATTTTATTTAACATTCTAATTGCTTTTAAGATATAAATAGAGAAATAAATCTTGTTCATGGACTGAAAATCTCAGTATTATTGAAGTATCAGTTCTCTTTTGAAGTGAGTGCAATTATTGTGTGTAGTCTAAAGAGTTCATTAGGAATAAACATGTGCCCTTTCAAAATACTAGTGGGATTTTTAAATTTAAATTCACAATCTGTTTAAAATTTTTTGTGCAAATGCAAGAGTCTAGAATGATCAGAAGTATTCATAAAGCAAGATTAAAATAGAACACTAACATTGCCTAGCATCAGTGCTTAATCTAGCTTTAGTAATTATTACATCATGGTGTTGGTATTGGTGTTAAAGCAGGAATACATTCATATAATCACATACAAAAATCTTATTTTTGACAAAAGTACAAAGCAAAATAACTAGAGAAAGAGTGTTTTCAATCAGCAATATTAGAACAATTGAATACCCCTAGGCCTCAAAAATGAGCTTTGGTATATATTCACATTGAAAAATAATGCAAAAGGGCTCATAAACCTAAAAATGTAAAACTTCTAGAAGAAAACATAGGTAAAAGTCCTGTGATCTTGGATTGGGCAAAAAAATTCTTAATTGAGACACCAAAACCATATTCCATGAAGTAAATACATAATAAAAGATTTTATTTAACATTCTAATTGCTTTTAAGACATGGGAGAATAAAGGGAATTAGCTACATCCTGGGCAGGAGTATCTGCACTGCATGTGTTGACTGAGTAGCTGTTACCCAAGACATATATGACTTTTGTATTCAAGTTATATAAGGAATTCTCCAAAATTCAGTTTTAAGAAAACAATTTTATTTCTAAAAGTAGACTAAGAATTTAAGTACATACTTTCTGCAGTAATACCTGTAAAGTATATTAAAAGATGATTAAAATCAGTAATTGCTTGGGAAATATTTAGAACCATCATGAGATACTTGCACATATCTGCCTTAATGGATAAAATTAAAAGATCATACTGGGTATAATCAAGGATGTAGAAGAATTAGGACTGTTAGGCATTACTGATGGGAATGCAAAGTAATTTCCGACTACTTTGGAAACTTGGTAGTTTCTTAAAAAGTTAAACATAATGGCGTATTATCTAGTAAGTATTCTTTCTTAATCCAGGAAAGCAGAAAACAGTTGTCCTTCTATATGGATGCCTGGGATGTGAGTGCTGGCTGACTGTGCCGTTTTCTGTAACAACTAGGAACTGGAAGCAACCTAAATGCTAATCAAAAGTTTAATGAATGAATAGATTATGGAATACTATCCATTAAAAGTTTAATGAATAAATAAATTGTGGGATACTATCCAGAAAAAGAAAGGAAATAAATGTCACATGGAAATCTTAATGTCAAGTGGAAAAGCCAAACAAATACGAGTACTTGTTGTATGATTCTATTTTATAAGAATTCCAGAAAGTGCAGACAAATGCAGAGTGAGAGAAAACATGAAGGGTTTTCCCCAGGGTGGGGAGAGAGGGAAGGGAAGCATTGCAGAGGTAGAGGAGCAGCCTTTGGCAAATGATGGGTATGCTCCCTGTGTTGGAGTGAGGATGGTTTAGTGGCTCATAAACTTATCAGATTGTAAAATTTAAGTATGCACCTATAATTATTTTTCAATTACATTCAATGAAACTGCCTAGCATGTTATATAACATAATATATGTACACACTAACAACTGTAAGATTTTTAGTGATTATAAGATTTCTTTACATTAAATGCATTCTTGGGGTTATGTATTAAGAGGATATAAGGGCGGTGCACTCTAATTTTTGCAATAATAAAGAAAAGAAATGTTAAGAGTTTTGAATATAAGGTAGCTTTTTAGTCAAAGTCTTAGCTTTTAAAAATACACTATATTCTTCACTGGTACAAGTTGAAGTTTTCGTAGTAAAATTATTTTCTTTCTTCTGGATATATTCACATTGAGTTAAAACTTGTTGTGATTTGTTTTTTAAAATAACCTTAGTCCTAGGTATAATCTGCTCTAGTTTTGTTTTCTTACAAATGTGATATATTTGAAAACTTATTATTGGAATTAATGCCTAATGATTCTATTTTCCTTTTGGGTAGTATGCACTGGAACGGCTGAAGGTCATGTGCGAAGAAGCATTGTGTAGTAACCTCACTGTAGAAAATGTTGCTGATACCCTTGTCCTTGCAGATTTGCACAGTGCAGAACAGCTGAAAGCACAAGCCATAGACTTTATTAATAGGTAAGCTGTGCTTGTATTTCAGTGGGCTTGACACCTTCAACATTGTTTTCACTAGACTTTTTTTAAGTGTGTTTAAATCTTCAATGCAGGTGCAGTGTACTTCGACAACTTGGGTGTAAAGATGGGAAAAACTGGAACAGCAAGTAAGATGACATCAGTTTCTGATCTGCATAAATGAAATTGTTTGCATAGCCTTTTGTTCATCTACCATAAGTATGAATCCAGATGTTAGTTTAATGAAGCATACTAGCAATTATTTTTAAAAAGCAATTTGACTGCTTAGTGGATTCCTGAGGCTATGCTCCCTGTAGATCAGCACCGAATTGCAGTTAGGATAGACACTTTTAATTTCTTTAGCGCAGGTAGCCAAGTGTCACTGCTAACGGTCCAGCTTCTGCCCCTTCAGAAAGCCTTTCTAAAAATGTCAGAAATTATTAATCCTATGGAGACTGTATCCTCCAGATTTTTGTAGAAAGTCTTTATATTTGCTAACTCACTGCTTCTCAGGTTAGCCAAATGTTTGTATAATGTGCTGCACTAAGCTAACTGCCTAATGTTCCAACCATGGCAGCCAGTTGATTTTTCCTTTTTCCTAGAACCTGTAGGGGATTGGATAGTTGTTATATTCCCCTATGCTTAATTTTCCTGAATATGAACTATTAGAATTTACTATTGCTTAAGTTTCTTCCTTCTCATTTTTAGATTCACTTTTTTGTTCTTTGTGATTTTTTGAAATCAAAAAGGAAAAGAGCTGTTAGGTTGAGTATTTTGTATCAGCCTTTGGTCAGTTTTGCCTGTGAGCCTTTAAGTTTCATTTCCTCAAGCTATTGAAAGTTGTTATATGAAAGCAAAACAAAAGGACAGTGATAAGGAAAATAAAATGATATTTCCTATTGCTTTCATTTGATTACATGTATATGAAGTTGGCTAACTAATTCCCATTAGCTTCCATTTTCTCAAAGTGAAAACAATGACTACTTTCAAATCCTTAGGTGTTTCTTATATTGGTCAGTGTATGATAATATAAAACCATAAATGGCATATATTCCTAAAAATATAATCCTTTTGACTTTAAAACATGCCATATTAGCAATGAATATGGAGTCTAGGACCTTTGTACTTTTTCACTTTGTCTTAAAGATTGATTTATTTGGAAAGACAGGGTCACGCCCCAAATGACTGCAGTGGCGGGGACTGGTTCAGGCTGTAGCCAGGAGCCCAGACCTTCATTGTGGTCTCCAAAGTGAGTGGCGGGGACGAGCACTGAGGCCATCTTGCACTGCTTCCCCGGGCACATCAGCAGGGAGCTGGATTGGAAGTGGAACAGCCAGGACTCAGAGTGGTGCTTACAGTGGGATGCTGCTGCCATGTTTTGCCACAACGTTGGCCCCAGTACATTTTGACTTTGAAGCCCAGTTATTCTGTAAAAACATATATTACATAACTTCACTAATTTATAAACAACATAGCTTATTTTAGATACTCTGGAGAAGCTGTAATACAAAGTTTCTATAGATATTTAATGAATAAATGCAAATATCTATTAAGAAAGAACTGTTTTCTAAACATCTAGCTGAAATACATAATGACACTGATAATTCAATATTTGGCATTTGAATAGTTGTTTTATTAATATCAGCTACTGTTTAGTTCAGATAACAAACATTCACCCAGTATCCTTAGTCTGTGCTCTTGACAAGTTTATCTGGTGGGGTTAGATACATGATTATGTCTTTTCATTGTAATCTGGTAAGTAATGTGTTAGGGGAGATGATGTACTGGTAACTGAATAACCCTGGCGATTTAGGAATGGGTCTCTGGAAATAACTGAGCGGAGTGTGGAAACGGGAATAGGGGCTAGAAGAACTAAAAATGAATCAGACATTATAGACAAGAAGAAGAGCACGAACTAAGTGTGAAGCAATAGTTGATTATTCATTTGGCAGATATTGCACATTTTATTATCCAGTATGTTCATGCCTCACTGTGTTCAGTGTGAGAATATAATGGTGATTGTTACAGATTTTTTTCCTTGCCTTCATGGAGTTTTGCATTGGTAATAGATTAATAATAAAATAATAAAGAAGTTTGCAATAAAATGTGATTTTCATGCATGGCAACATGCTCACTAGAACACATAACAAAAGTATTTTATTTCATCCAAGAGTCAGAGAAGGCCTTTTCAAGGGATTATCATAAGAATAAAGGCTTGATGTATTGGTTGGAGTCACTCTGGTGGGAGAAGAAGGAAAGTGTGTCCTAGGAAGAGGTAGTGAGATGTGCAACATTTTGGTGATTAAAGAGAGCAACATAAAAGGAGAACCGGTGATGAAAAGGGCAGTCAGGAGAATAAGCTGGGGGTTGCAGGGAGAGCTCAGACCCTGGAAAGCCATCTAAAACAACAGGACTTTTAGGTATTTTTAAATTTTTAAATGGCATCTAGTAAAGGATTTTCACCTAGAGTATAGCATGATCAGATTTACATTTTTAGCATTCTGTACCTCATAGGTGCAGTGGAAAACAGACTGTGAGGAGTTTTAAGTGCTGATAGTTGAGGAACAAAGTTAAATACAGGAATAACAGTTGTACAGCTATTACTTAATTCAGGTAAGAAATGAAGAGTGAATTAAACCTGATTGATGAATGAGACTGGAGGGAAGTAAAAGTATGTAAGAAGTAGTTTTGAAGGGAGAGTCTATAACAAACATTTGGGTATTTAGATAGTGGGTAGTACAGGGAACAGAGAGGAGGAAAGGATTGGTTACTAGGTTTGTTGCATGTGCAGTTGATTTTGTTATTTTTTTATTCTGGCTCAGTTGTTTTGAGGAATTTATTAATGTACTAGATTTTCAGGTCATGCAAGATGCTTGGTAATTGCTGCAACACAGTTCTCTTGATAATGTGATGTGAATGCAAGAGATCAGATGCAGTGTAGTTCATAGAATTATCACATAATGAAACCTTTGTCTTCCCTCCCTTCTCTGTCTCTCTCTCACTGATTCCTCAGTGACAGTGTACTGTCTCCAAGCACTGTATGATCCCAGCATCACATGCTAGGGCAGTAGGGGGTAGGAAGTTAGAGGAAGTTGGAAACTAATTATAAGGAGGCAGATAACTAAAAACATAGATGTACATTGTGGAACACAGTACAGGAGAGGACATGACATGCCCATGTTTTTATAATTGAGATAGCTTTGTAGGAGCTGAGTTTGAGAAGAGCAAGACCTGAAGAACAAGAGCTGATGTAATCCTTTACCAGGAACTCCAGATCTCGTCAGGATTGAAGTAGGGCTTTGGAGATTGATTCAAAAGAATAGAGTCTAGGATGACTGCCACGTTTCTGACACAAGTCACTATGTAATGGTGGAAGCTTTCTTTGTTTGATTGGTTATAAGGGAGGAAGAAGTTGGGATACATGGATAGGGATAATGGGCCCTCATCTGACAGTCCTAAATTTATGGGTCTTGAGGCACAATCAAATAAAAAGAGAAAGTAATTAGAAACGATCCTTCGGGAGAGGCCACATCATCATTGAATACAATCAAGATTATGAAGAATGGATGAAGTAGAAGGAATAATAGTTGTTAAGGAAGAGGAAAAGGGCAGAGTTGGGAAGAAGCAAACCTTCCTGTAACAGTGAGGGAAAGCAAGGAGCCCTGGAAGAGCTGGTGCATGTGGTACCTTACAACGTACAGAACAATTTAGGAATTCTTTTTGCCACAGAAAATATCAGTGAGAGAAGTAAGATGATGTTTTAATAAATTAAAATGACTTGAATATTTGAAATCCATTAAGTAGGAAAAATAGTGACTTTCAGAAGTATTTTTGATTAAACAGCTCTTAATTCTGTTTTACAGCCAAGCAACTGACATAATGGAAACATCAGGGTGGAAGTCCATGATTCAGTCGCACCCACACCTGGTAGCAGAAGCCTTCCGAGCACTCGCCTCTGCACAGTGTCCACAATTTGGCATTCCTCGCAAACGGCTAAAACAGTCATGAAATCTTCATGAACAGTAAAAAAAAAACCAAACAAACATGGAATTGACCTTTACTCCTCCAGGTCCAGAAGGATGCGAGTACACAAACCATAAGCAAGAGTTGTATCTGTTTTCTAGTCCTCAGAAAGAAAGTGTGAAAAGCATATTGCTTGCATTTCAGGTGGATAATTTATGGTTTATTCTTCAGCTTTAAATTAGACTGATTAATTCACTTCAAGGCCTTAAATTATCTTCAGTGACTTCTCTTCATAAAATACATTGTTGTTTTTATTTTGTTTTGTTTTTTATTGTGCCTTGTCATTTTGACCAGGCTATGCAGGATTGCACTAGCTCCATAATGCAGTAATGCTGATAACTGAAGATACTAAGTCTCAAAAGGATCTTCCATTATCTTGAGAAAAAAAAAGAAGTTTGAGGTTTTTTCCTATGCTGTCTCAAAGTTTAAATGTAGGTTCTCCTTAAGAGCACTTCTATTGGAGATGACCGGTTACGTCTCCATTCTAAGCTCTAGAAATGTAGAAGAACCTGCTTACCTTCAAGGTGAGTTATGGCAATACACTGCTCCAATTCTCATCCACCTTTCATTTCAGGGGGGCAAATAGGCAATGAGTTGGTCCAGACTTTTAGTAAAATTTGTGGTGTTTGTCTGTATGCTAACTATTCAACAAAATGTGGCTTTATCCAAAGTTACAATGATTGAGAACTGATTGCGCCTAAGATTTCAATAAGTAAACATGTTTTCCACAGTTTTTTTTCATTTACAGTAACTTGCATTTATATGAAGAATTCTGTATATGTTAAAAGGATGACCAAATGTAAATTTAATGAGTGGGCCAATTAAGAAAGATATATGCACTTTTAACGTGTAACTTTTGTATGCTGAATGGTACACATTTTTTCCTGCTTTTGAGGGAATTAATAAGGTATAATTAATTTTGTCTTAACTTTTGGAATACTTTTTTAAGACAGATGGAAGCAACTGGGGTGTTTGTGATAATATATAAGAAGGGTCTCCTTGATTGTAGTTAAATTGGTTTGGATTTCAGATATTCATTACCGAATTTATTCCTGTTGTGTTTTTTTTTTTACACTTCTGAAAAGGCACCTGAACAATAAACAAATTCTGAACAGTATACTCTCCTTCAAACAGTGAGCTGATACTGTGTTCCTGTGCAAGTGCATGCAGAGCAGAAAGCTGTCAGGCTGTTTCACATTACACTATGAAACTTTTTTTCTCTGTTTTCTCCTTTGTGTTTCAGTTACTGTACTAACATTGTGGATGGTGTTGAAATTCTGCATAATGTGAACAGGATAAACTATTTATAAACTGCTTTTCATGGGCCAGTTCTTTATTGTAAATGGACTTTAGCTTTAACCACACATCCATGTTCAGTGTTTGTTAGCTGTGTTCCTCCAGAACGTCTATTTGGTGCATTGTCCTGGAGAAACAGGGGCAGTCAGTGTCGGGACGCTGCGTCCGACCTGCTGGAGCAGCAGCAGAGGGCTTCTTAGGCAGCATTCGCGTTTGAACACAAGGGGCAGGTATGTCCTTGCAGAAATCACTTTGTCCTCCAGACTAGAATGGAATCTGTTTATTTAGATTTTGAAGTCAGGGCAAAGGGAATAAAATGAAGCAAATAGATGTTATTTTTGCTGTTTCTTTACTAAATGTTATCTAAAAGAAGCAAAACATACATTGATCAAACACTGTCAAAGTAAACATTTGTTCTCCACAACAAACAGGAGTTCAAAAGATCGTATTTTCGAAAACTTTAGCTTCTTTTTGTGATATTTGAGTCTTCAATGTAGTAACTTAAATTGGGATTTGGACATACCTCTTAGGATAAGAGGAAGATTCTTAATCTGGTAATGGGCGTCATCATCAGTAAGAATGTTGTGGAGAGTAGAAATTCACTTCCTTTATTCTACCATAAGATGGAGTCTATTAAATTTACATGTGGAATTTTAAATTTTACATGTGTGCACACATACATGTACAAAAGTGTACACACATACACATATATACTAAGATTTTAGCAGGGTCTTAAAAGAAAACAAATATTCTCTCTAAACAATTATATCATCATCTATCAAAAAAGTCTTGGTGTGTCCGTTATATATGTGCATACCACACTGGTACATTGCAAATTCAGCGCTCTAATCTGCATTTCTAATAGCAGTGACTTCAGTAATCACATCACATAAGCGAATGTTTCAGCTTGGCCTCTTCTACTGTAGTGTTTATTGCAAATCTTAAGGATTTCATAAATTTAGACATTAAATTTGCTAGCACATTTTGTACCAAAAATGTCAAACACTGTGCTATAAGAATATCCGTGCTTATCAAAGTGTCCACTTTTCATATATTATAATGGCTCCTGTTGTACTAACATTTTTTATTTATTATGTATAGTTTTGGTATTGTGGATTCTTGCAGCAGTGATAAAAAAATATATATAACCTGTTCATGTGTTCCGAAGCAGTGCTCTAACAGCGTTTTTCCTCTTCCATTTTGAAGACACACATGATATTTTCAAAATAGGCACAGATCCTGTCCAGAGGAGTCTTGCCTTTTGCTTGGTCAGCCTACTTCTATTTCCCTTTTGTCACCCAAATAGGGCTTTTCCTTAAAAAGTAGTGAGTGGTTTTAAAGATTACATGTTAAAAAAAGTAAACGTTGGATAACTGTTCTTTAAGATTTATAAACACTATATTTGTGCCTTTTTCATTTTTAAATTTTAGTGTTTATTGGTATTTGGAGCACAAATATGAAGGTGCCATACTATGGCTTGCCAATGTTACCTCCTTGAATACTCATGTGTCATTGTCTTGAAACAGTAATTGGAGAACCTTGCATGAATTATGTGATTGTATCTGTGCGTGTGTGTGTGTGTGTGTGCCTGTGTACCTGAATTTATTTGGGCATGTGTGCGATATGTTCAGAGTGAACTTTTGAAAATAGGACTCAGTTAAATGTTGAACGTTTAGGTTTGTTAAAATATTTCACTTGAATTTGCTTTATTTGGGGGCATAGTTGATTGGCAAAGGAGATTCTGATTCTCAAAGTGTCCAATTTATTGCATGACAAAATGTGAAAATAGTGCCTTTTTAGGTCACCAGTGATAACAGAATTAAGTGTTTGTTATCAGAGATCTCTTACAAAGTTGTCATAAGCATTTTTAATTTATTTAAAAACATAAGTGAGAGCTTGAATTGTTAACAAGTATAATTATTAACTTACCCATTTGAGTTTTATGGATAAAATTAAACAAATTCTTTATAAAATTATGGATAATAGAAACCTAGTGCTACTAAAATACAAGTTTGTACCTCCTGCTACAAAAATACACCTTTGGTAAGCTAAGTTTGTGATACCCAATTTTACAGTTCCACTTCGCTTATAGCTAGTTGGTGAATTTTGATCTGTATGGCATGTTCTTGATGGGTGAAATACACATATCCAGTGCATTCTTGGGGGAACAAGTGAATGGATGAGTGGATTTGTTTTGGTGTTCTCAGATTATAAAGACAGCACTTTCAGCACACATCAGAGTATTTTGCAAACCGTTTTTATACAGATTAGGAGCTCTACTTTAAGTGTTCATGGAATGATGTAAATTTTAAGCCCCGTGGAACAAATACTGAGTGCCTACCAAATGCAAGACTTCTTCACTCAGATTAAAATCATACTTTGTATTGTTTGCAGTATGTGAACTTTATGTTTGAAAACAAATTCTTATATTTAAATCTTTTTCTGTTGTTAGAGTTTATCATTGTATACTGTAACCCAGTTAATTTGTGTTCAGTTTTTAAAATGAAGATATAATTTACTTGTTCCATTTTTGAAAATAAAATTCTGCTAAAATTATTTAATATTAAGTGTGGTAGAAATTGGTTTTCAAGTTTTAAATGTATAAAAAGTTATTTAACTTTTCATCCTCATTTTTAATCAGTTGATGTTAATGATGAGAAACATACACTTGCTGAAAATATTTTTGCATTTCAGCACATTGAGTTAAATAAAGTTATTTCTACTTATTCAAAATTGATTCATTTTGTGTTTATTTAAAAGCTTAGGTTAGTATGGTGCTTTGCAAAAACAAATCTGTGTCTGATATACTAACCTATGCAGTGATTATCTTTTCAACCTAGGGAAACTGGTGGCTTTGCGCTCTACCAAAGCCCCCTGTGAAGTAGCACACACTTATCTGACGTGTGTGATCAGTGGTGATGTCAAGGCTGTTAATACTGAAAGATCATCTTTTCTTTGGTACTTACACCCTTCTTAATTTCACTTATCCCAATCACACTCATCACTTGCTGCTATCAAAAACCAGAACTGAAGCAGGATATTCCTGAACCAGCTTTTAGTAAGAGTCACAAAATCAGTGCTTAAAAATTATGGTCAAGGTGGCCATGAAAGATCACAATGAAAAAATCTTTCCTGTATCCAACACTTAGACTCAATAAAAAAGCCTAAAAGCTTAGAGCCTGTCTATGCGAGTACAGTACAACAGGACAAGTCTTCAAACAGCAACAACCTTAAATCCTAAGCCATGTTTTAAGATTGGGGTGTGTGTTTCTTCTGCTGCCTCAAAATACTACGAGTAGCATTTGTTTTGTATAGTCTTTTTAAATTGATGATTTTTTGATATGAAGGAGGTTTGTATGCATCTGTAGTAGTGGCAGAAATAAATTTGATATTTTTATTCTCCTTTTTTATTCCTTTCGTAAAACATTTACGTATAGTCCTGTGCTAGTCTGGTACAACAGCCCAGTGAATCCTACAGTATTTAATCCTACCTTTTTGCTCAAGTTCTAGGCAGGCCTCTAATTCTTTATCTTTAATTCTAATAGATACAAGGAAAGAAAAACTTCGTTTTTATGAATGACAACTGCAGCACACTAAGTAACAACCAGTTTCCTAAGGACTGATGCTAGATTTACCACCATGAGTAAAAGGTTTTTACACTATGTATTTTATAAGATGCTTTAAAAAAACGAGGTGATCATGAAACTTGAACGGGCAATCTTGATTTTACATGCAAAGTTATTTAGTGAAGAACTAGGTAGTGGATATTTTACACTTTATTGGCCATTCAGTTTATCCCACCTGCTTTATTGTGCCGTTGTAACATGAGCCACAGTGGGCATTTAAACAAATAAGTGCGACTGTATTATGTTACAGCTGTTTGCAGAAGCTGGCTAGATAGGATCCTTTGCCAAGTTAAAACATTTGAGGTAAGTAAAGGAGCTTGGAAATAAATAATGTGGAGGAAAAAAAAGCATGGATGGCCCAATTGAAACTGAGGACCATGAGCTCACAGAGGATGAGTTGGGATTCAATGTTGACATAACTGATGTTGTGAAAGAAATAAGTGCAATAAAATTAGTGACTAATGATACTTTTTTATTGCTTCTAGTTTTTATTATGTAATTAGAATATAAACCTTCATGTTTCTTCTGAGTAGTAAAACATTATTAGACGACTGTAGAAGGTTCTATAGCATAGCTAGTATTAAAATTAAGAAAAATTTCTAAATGATAATTTTCATAGTACATTAGGTGGAATACATGAATCAGTACTCATATCAATATAATAAGTTATTCTTAGACTTGGAAAATAAGCAATGTGAATATCCTAAAATTTTAAAGTTTTATTTCTCTGATAACACTTTTCTAAGTGAAAAAAAACATATTGATCTGAGAAATCATATGTCTTTAATGTTGCATTTCTAAAGTTAATGTTGAAATTTACACAGAAATGGTTTTTAAGCATAATAACATACTACCAGTAAACATACGGAACCCTAACAATTGAATCTCAGCAAGTTTAAAAGTTTGACAGTGAAAATGAAAACTGGCAAAAGGTAACAAAATTTATTATACCATTGCATACAAATATAAAGATAAAAGGTGGCCATTTTTATAAGTTAAAAAAGAATCTGAGGTAGGGAAGAAAAAGTGCAGATTCTTTGTGAAAAGTTTTCCTGATTCTTAAATTGAGTCAGATAATCAGATTTTTACAAATAATTCTGAAACTTTAACTCTTTATGCTCTTTATCACCCAAATCACAAAGTGAACATTGTGTGGCAACATGAATGGAAAAAAATTTTTAAATTAGTAAAAAAAAAAAAAAGAAGATAAAGATAACATTACAACATTTTTACAGAATAGTACAACAAATTCTGTAAGGGCATCTTATGCAAGAAAAGCATTCAACAGTTGATCAGATTGTGAGAACTAGATATGTAAAAGGGAAATATCGCCTGTTTTGTAATAATAAATACAATAATCTTAAGCAAAAAAGTAATAAAGTAATTTGATTAA